TAATAGATACTACTATATTAGGAAGCTATTCTTAGATAGATAGCTATCTACCTAGTACTAGGGGGATATAGATATAAAAGGAGCTACTAACGTAGGAATTAAACTATCTTCTATAAATAACCTATAATAGATTTAATAGATAGATCCTTTTAATAGAAGGTATACGCGCTATAATCTAATAGTAGATATTAAGTCTAGTCGCTAAGGCCTATATTAAAGGGCGTTATATACGATAATAAGTATTACTATAAGCTAATAGTAATTACTACTATAATAACTAGGCATAGAAGAGTAGCTTTATTAAGGGTTTTCTAGAAAGCTAGTAGGAATAAGCCGGATAATACTTACTTATAAGTGGTCCACGGCTAGGGCGGGCTTTAGTAATAAATAAGCGGAGGGAGAGAGTAATATTAAGGGTAGACCCTAGGTATACTTAATGCTAGCGTACTACGCCTAACGCTACTACTCTCTCCTTACTTAATAAAGCTAAATAAGCCTCTTTTTAATAGTATACTCTATCCCTTATCTTAAGGAAGCCGAGTAGACTCCGGCTTCCTCCCTTATTAAACTTACTATATTCTATAAATACTCTTACGTCTATGTATACGTCGTATTCCTATAATACTACCCTAGTAAGATATAGACGGACTCTAATTATAAATATATAGAGACTATAATAGATATATCTATATCTAATAAATAATAGAGAAGATAACTATAGAAAGATACTAACTAGGAGAAGTATAGGGAGGACCTAGAATTAGTAATTCTAGATCTCTCTATAGTTAATATATCTAATAGTCTAGCTATAGATAGAGCTATATAAGTCCTTCTTTAAGCCTTCTAAAACTTAAGAGATAAATACGTACTATACTAAATATATAAGCCTCTAGATATAAGAGATATACCTTAAATATATAAAAGTAGAAGGAAAGCCTAGAGACTATATACACGTGTATACTATATCTAGATAACTAAGGTATAGAAGAAATAGAAAGAGATAATCCGATCTCGTAATAGAACCCTCTATAATAAATAATATAAATAATAGTATATAATTACTAATAAATATATATAATAGGCTATAGGGCTATAGTATATAGTAAAGTAGGCTAAGAGCGTGGATATACCGACGCTACTACTACTAATACCTTCTCTAATATACTAGAGGAGAATATATACTATAAGCCCTAAAAAAATAGAAATTCTCTAAGAAGTTATATTTCTCCCTCTAGAGCTAGTAGACCTATTAGATATTAATAATAATATATATCTAGACGCGGTTAATATCTCTATAGAGATTATAGAAGAGAATATACTTAATACTATTAAAGTACTCCTAAATAATAAAGTATCTAGACTAGATAGAATACTAAATAGATACCTTAAATATACTATATAGATAACCTTACTACTTATTAGTCTTATCTTCTAGATATATACTAAGAACGGGTACTACCCCTAAAGCTTCTAGACTATCTATACTATTATACTTCTAAAGCTAGGGAAGAACTCTAACTCCCTAAAAGGATAGAGACTAATTACTCTTCTCTTCTATCTTAGTAAGATACTTAAGACTATAATTATAAAGAAGATAAATACTATAATATAAGAATATAATCTCCTTCTAGCGAACTAGAAGGCGAAGATTAGAAGCTCCCTAATTACTACTATCTAATATATTCTTAAAGTTATCTAGACTATATAGAAGTAGGGACGCGTAGTAATATTACTCTCTCTTAATATAGCTAGTATATTTAATAAGATAAACTATATAAGACTTATCTATAACCTACGGAAGAGATATATATCTAAATAGATTATAAAGTTTATATAGTCCTTTCTCGCTAAAAGAATTACCTAGATATATATCTCTAGATATTAAAGTAAGTATAGAAAGATAATATATAGTATTCTATAAGGAAGTACTATCTCTCTAATTCTCTTTCTCTTCTTTACTATAGACCTTCTATAGAGGATATAATATATAGAGATAGTAGAATACGCTAATAATATATACCTTCTAGCTATTAATAATAATACTAGTTTAATATATAAATATATTAAATAAGACTATAAGAGATATATCTAGTAGATAAAGTACTATAGAGTAAAGTTTACTCTAGAGAAATACTAACTTATATACTTTATTAACTACTATAGAAGATAGACTACTAAAGAGGGAGAGTAATATTCTAGAATAGATACTTTTACTAAACTACTAATATAGAGTATATATATACTTAGTATTATAATTAATAATAAACTTAAATAGGGTCTATAGATTATATATATAGTATCTAGGGCCCTTAAGATAGAAGCTACTATATACTAGATTACGGCCTCTATATAGAGAACTATCTAGAATAAGGCGCGCTAGCTATACGTCTCTATAATACGACCCGCCTTTATATATAGATATAAGTACTAGTATATAGCCCTTATATAGACTAGATAAATAAAGCTTAAGTCTATATAGAACTATATACTCTATCTTATATCTAGTATATATAAAGCTACTAATATAGTACTACTGTAATATAAGATAAATATAATAAGTATATAGAACTTCTACTAGATATAGAGGGTAATATACTTTACTAAATAATAAGTATAGAAATATATAGGACACGCTGAATATACCTTTACTATACTATATATATAAGTTAGTACCTACTATTAAGTACTACTATATATAGACTAGACTTAACTATAGTATAAGAGTCTAATAGAGATAGACTTAAACTAAATTATATAAGAGATTAGAGATAACCTAGATATCTTTCTAGACTATTAGAACCCTTAGAAGCTTATATAGACTATATAGTTATAGACCTAGAATAAATAGAAAGAAGTTCTCTAGATCTATTAGATATCTAGAATAGATTTAGAGACTATAGAAGAAACTAAGTAGATAGATATATAAAGGGCTTATAAAAGCCTAAGTATCTATCCTCCTCTAAGCCTAAATAGAAGCTATAGAACTTCTATACTATCTATATTAGAGGGGCGTTCTAGATATATCTCTATAGTATAAAGTATATAGCTAAAGAGATATAATATAGTATTATCTTATAATATATCCGGACCTCTATATATAGAGATAATTACTTATCTATATAATAAGGACCTCTAATATTATATAGTAGCTTAATAAGTACTCTAAGAATATTACCCGGTAGATACTTATATATCTCTCTCTTCCTTAATACTAATAGACCTAGATATATATACTAGAAGTAACTAGATATATACTAGATAGACCCTAGTATATACCGGAAGAACCCCGGGAGAACCCTAATTATTAGTTAAAGATAACCCTTAACTAATAACCCCTATACTCTATACATGCTACCTAAGGATAAAATAATAGTACTATAGATTATAGGCCTATAGATATTTCTAATAGCTATATACTTAAGATAATATAAAGGTTTAATAAGATATAGTTATAGAGAGAAGGGAGTTTTTCCTTTTATAAAGGTTTCTTCTTATATAATAGCTTAGACTAGAGAAGGTATATATCTATAGAGTAAACTACTCTACCTAGTTATATAATAATATTATTATTATTATATGTTATAATTACTTTATAAACTTATAGAGTATAATAGCGTAATAAACTCTATATACTTCTAAGCCCTAAACTATAATTTAGTCTATTATAGGGTTTCATTGTATATAGAAGTTTAATATATATTTTTTCTATAGACTATTAGCTAAGAACTTTCTAAGAATTTCTAAAGATGTTTCTCTTATCTCTTAAAAGAGTTAATAAAGATAAGATAAAGATATGGTAGAATTAAGATATATCTATATATCGATAACACTTACTTTTTATAGTTCTATATCTCTATTTATAAGCGAATAAGTAAGGAGAGCTCTAGTTAGGAAAATGAAGTATGAACACGCGTGCACGAGTGCTAAGAGAGTTAAGCTCCAGATACGATGGACAATTATCGCTCTAATCTTGATAGTTACAACTACTACGTGAAGTAGCTTTTATGGACGGAATTGTACCCAGGTAGGAGGAGAGCCAAATACGTGAATGTGCAACATTCTTGGTGGCAATATTCATGGCCTGGCTTCTGCAATTAAAGATTATAAATATTTTTCTTTGGTTGTTAGTGAACGTGGAATCGGCTTCAGCCAAGTATTTGCCAACATGACCACGTCGATGTGATTGCGTTCTATACAGCACATTTTGGCTACGTCAATATCTTAACACCGTCGTTGTGGGGCTTATCAGCAGTGGCTGGAATAGCAATCTGCAGAACAGTCGTGTTCGAGAGTAAGGTCGAGGATGTTAATCTTCTTGTTCGTCGCTGCTTTGTCTACAGTCTGTGGTGTTATCCCTTAGACTTCCAAGATTAGGAACGGTGCATTGTTATGATTATAGTAGACTAAACCAATGGGATAGAGCAATATGTCTGCGATAGTATATTGATTCTTGCCATGGCCATGCCATATATACAGCGAAAGGACGCACCATCTTGACGAACGTAAGTAAAGTGATACTCACTTATGCCCTGGTCTGGTTCGGCAAATCTTGTGTGCGGATAAATGCTCGATTTACATAGCCGAACGAGGCTGGGGACACAGGATATCAAAGGTGATCTGTGTTATAGTCTTCATGCTAGCCTATCCAAAGAAAGATCTCGAGCTGTAATGCATCTTGTATTGACCGATTGATTGCCATGATGCTTGTATTAAACGATGCGGTGAAATTAGTGCAACCTCAAGAGTAACCAGGATTTGAAAAAGCCGATCATCGACCCGTCCGCAGGCAGTACTTCATAAATATTAGCAAAAGACGAGCAGAATGATACATATGATGGAATAGATAAGAGCTGATCCAGAGAACAGAAAATAGTATCGAAGAATAATGATAGGCCTTTTCTTTCTCCGCGACCATTTTCGTAAGTTCAAAATTTCCAGGTAAAGTACGAAGCAGTCGGAGAATGTCATAATATCCCCGTCAATTATGATGAAAGGCTACTGTTGCTTTGATATTATTTCAATGAGATCCATGATCTATGTTAGGCACTCGCCATTGGGTAGAGACGTGCGTGGGGGCATTCGATGGCCAAACTCCTCTAGTTTCGGAGACAATGTTGCCACTTAGCAAAGGTTGATGACAATCGTTGCTATGATTCAATCGGATCATATTCACTTCTCGAGTGCTCGAAGCGTTCTTCGAACATTAGGCATCAAGCATCCCCTACCTGGGTTATTTGGTCTCTCTAAGCTTCACCTGCGTCTTCAACTGTCGTGTATCCGTTATTACCCTTAACATATGGTGGTCTATGTACCATCAGCCTCGTCCTCTAGGCATTGTAATCAGAACCTACAACAACCAATTCTTCACTCCAACTATCGCCGCTGTCCCGGCGGCAAATCCACCTAGCGTCCTCCCCCAACCTGGATCGACTACACTTTGCCCAACACTTAGCGCAATCAGGTCGTACACCAAACATCCCCCAAAGATCCAATCGCTGCAAACCGCAGCCCCCGCAAAGCCCAGTCCGGTAAGAACTTTGATCGCTGTACTCGCAGGCTGATTGACGAAATATGCGGCGGAAGTGTTGTGTAAAAGGTCAAGTACGCCGATGCCAGCAAAGGTTTTGCTCACAATATGCGTCAACATAGAATTGTAACTGGACGTACGCATGGGTTTGAGCCTAGTGGCCATATAGCCGACCTGCGCGAGCGTATTGATGATAACAAACACGTTCGCTGTGCCTAGCATTTCTTTATTCCAGAACAACATCCAAGTACCAATACACACATTCCCTAGCGCATAGACGGCCGCAAAATCACTCATTTCGGCTAGTTCTTCTTTTGTGCCCTTGGCAAAGTACAGGCGGTACAGCCATACGAGCTGGAATAATTGCTGGGGAAAGAAGAAGCCTGCAATGAAGAAGGGCTGTGGGGAGAAGAAGGAGATGTTGCGGTCGTGTATAGTTTTCATATTAGGTGTGGAGAGCATGCCGTATTGCTGAAGGGCGAAGTCGTACAAGAATGAAAGAGGGGCGAGAACACGGGCAGTTGAGTGTGGAACGCCCATCTTGGTGGTTTGGCCGTGATAAAGTGTGAGTGTATCTAATTTGCTGTGAACGTAGTGATGGCTATCGAGCTGAAGTCGAGTCGAGTGCAGATGGAGCAGGTGGGTCTTCAATATCGCTGGTAAGTTGTATAACTCTAAGGGATGGTTTATAATTATGTAAAAGGTCGAAGGGCCTCTAGATTTTTCATCATACTTACTGTGGTTCATATACGTGCGAAATTACCCATGGGCGCGAGTCGATGCATGTTTTATGTGCGAAACACGACGTCATGACAATTTGCGGACGTAGGACTTAGAGAGAGTCGTGTGCGTCATAGGACCCTGAAGGTAACTGAAGTTCCATGCCAGCACTCAGCCTGCGGCGAGTGTTTTAGAATAGGATCTAAAAAGGAAATAAATTATTTGTGAATAGAGGGAATTCCAAAAGCTAACCAAACAAGTCTATCATTTTTCCATGGCGCCATCGCGGTTCGCTCTTCCAACCCAGGTGATAGCTAAAGCTACGACCACTCGTAATACATGTGTACAATAGCCTGAGGCATGAACTGAGACAACGAGTATATCCGTGAAGAAATATACAAGCGTTGGAGTTCGTCAGCTGAAATCGCGTCTATATCTGTACATGCGATGCCAACATGTGAATTTTACTCCCGCGATACATCGCGGCCGAAGATCTTGCTCTTGGTCCAGTCAAGGAGAACCAGGATACGATTGCGGGTGCTGAAGCACATTGAAAGGTAAGCAGAGCGCCCTACGATATCGTCAGCAACCTAGTGAAGTCATTGTGGGAGGGGTTACACGTACAGAAGAAGTAGGTCAAGGTTCCACCAGACGCGATGTTGCCCGCCAGCCAGCTTATATCAGCAACGGCCTTCTCGCTACCAATATAGGCCAAGCTTCCTTGGTGAGAGTACTCAAAAGGGCCCATCTGTTTGACGCGCCGTAGCCGCTTCTGGAGCTCCTTCATGTCTGCGAAGATAGCATTGCGCTGCTCGCCGTTGGGAACCTTATCTTGTTTATCAGATAACGTCTTCAGTTCAGTCTCAATCTCCTCGGTCTTAGCCATTTGATTGAAAAGACGAGCCAGGAAAGCACCTTCCTGAGCAGCTACCTGAGCGGTTGGAGCATAGTTTGCGATAGCGCAGTCACCCACAGCCCAAATGTTTTCCGTACCCTTGACGACAAGATATTCATTGACAGCAAGACCTCTGCGGGAGTCTTTCTGAGCGGGGATCTGTTGCATGAGATCCTTGACAACTGGGCGGAGAGCGTTACCGGTAGCCCAAACGAGTAAGCCGTAAGGAATCTTTTCGAGCTTCTTTTTGCCGTCGGGGCCAGTTGATTCAGCCTCAATATACTTATCAGTTACGTTTTTGACCATAGTCTTAGTCCGGATCGTGATGGTTTCCTCCTTGAAAGTCTTTTCAGTGTAGTCGATCAGCTGCTTGGAAAACATGGGGAGCACCTATGATCATGTTAACACTAACTCTGAAGAAAATTTACAATATACGCACGTTGGGCAGAGCTTCAACTAGTGTGACATGGAAGTTCTCTGTGATATCTGGAATCCACTTCTTGAGGTCTGATTCGAAAAAGTCCTGAAGTTCTCCAGCGAATTCTACACCGGTGGGACCACCGCCGACCACGACCATATGGAGTAATCGCTGTACTTCTTCGGCCGATTGATCCTTGAAGGTCGCTGTCTCGCAACAATCCATGATGCGCTTTCGGATCTTCTGAGCATCACCTACCTCCTTCAAAAATAGGCCATTCTCCCGGACACCAGGAATACCTGGTCATCAAGTTAGTATGCGAACTCTACCGTAGATTAGAGTAAAACGACGTACCAAATGTAGCATTCTCTGCACCAACGCCGACGACGAGCATGTCGAATGGAATCTCCGTGCTTGATACATCTCCCTTTATCTCGGAATCGTCATTGACATAGATCACTTTCTTCTGATAGTCAATTTTTGTCGCCTCAGCTTCATAGTATTTGACAGCGGATTTCTTGTGGCGCAGAAAGTTACGGATGGGTTCCATGATAGAGCGATGCTCGATAGTTCCAGTAGTGCATGACGGGAGCAGGGGCGTGAAGAGAAAGTAGTTTCGGGGTGAAACGACGATGACATTGTAATTTTCGGTATCCAGCTTCTTGAGCAGGGAAACAGAGCCCCATCCGGTGCCTATCATTTGTCAATCGTGGCATTGCGTAAAGTAGTCACATATGCGTCTCAACTTACCTAGTATAACAAGAGTCTTCTTACTCGGATCCGGTTCTGGCTGGTCAGGAGGAGAGCGCATCTCATAGATGCCATACCCAACGTATGCAAGACCTCCTAGGGCAGAGAGGTAGGTAATTCGCCATGTCCAGCGGAGGAATCTGAAGCCTTTTCCCTTTGGCTTGGGAGCAGCGTCCGCATAACTGCGGCGGAACTGTTGGCGGAGGAGAACATTGTTGAACTGTGGCCTCGGAGCACCTCGAGCTCTTGTGATATTCGACTTGGTCGTGATCGAGGTGAAGTTGCGACGGCCTGCAGCGTGAAGTTGGCGCGTGACACCTGAAGATAACAAGTTCTTCATAGCTGTAGCTGATATCGGATGACCGAATGATCGAATATGAAAGATGTGTGACGAATAGGTGAACAAGGCAGAAGGAAAAGCGCAATGCAACCTCGAATGAGATTGCGTGAAGGAATGGAGAGTCAATCAATAGTCAGGGAGTGAAACAGCACTGTCAAGCGTATAACATGATGCTGCTGATGATGATGCTGATGGAAAAAAGCTTGCGCTCGAAAAAAAAGTGAACGGTCGTCGGGATTATCAGGCAAGGATTAAATTAGCTGTATCGGGCAAAATTAGCAAGCCGCCGCCCCCTGCGCCTGCAATGTAATGGATAGCTAGGTAGAGGGTACCTTAGGCGGCCGCGTACCTCACTACCTCCCGAGCAAGCCACCCCTCCAAAGCACTTTGCTACTCTTTTGATACTGGCATTTCCCATCCTAACAGATAAGCTGACGAATCATTGCGTCATCCCTCATATATTTCATGCCTTGAAGTAAGGTTGTTTGGCACGTTTACTTAGTCCGTTGACCTAGGCAGGGGCTTAGAGAATGACAGCTAACTGCTTTTGCTCTGAATTTTAGCTTGTGAGTCTGAAATGATCACGAAGAATGGCATTATCGCTGCACTTGATAAGTCAGATCAGATCCTCCACACGTAGACATCATGCAATTGCCCGTGGGTACTCAAGAACCTTTGGAACCCTGGAGCATTCGTGTAGCAACTAGTCCTATTGACAGCTTGTAATGGTATCTTAGAATATTTCCCCAGAGGGCGCCGTACGTCTTTTCCCCCACACAGAGGCATTAGTCAATGAGCATTGTGTCGTCGCCTCCATTGCCCATTTGTGGCTCAGCAATAACACCTCTACCCCTCCCAGCAAGCAATTCTCGTCTGATTTCAGGACCAATAGCGGAATGCCCTTTAGCCAGAAGCAGGTCCAACAGCGCCTCCCTCTGATCTTCCGTTATATCATTCTTGAATCGCTCGGAGAACGCAAGTAAACACTGATGCCATATTACGGGGAGTTTTCCTTGAGGCATGACTTTCCGACCGTTAGGTCCTCTCACCCCAGTCATTTCTTCCACTCCGTCGCCAGTGGTTGGGTCTGCAGCCTTGAAGCGAAGGAAGTGGAATACCAGTGCGTCAACAACAGCCCATGGAAGAGCATATTTCTTCTCGAGTAGCGCTTTAATACAGATGTTTGTAGGCCCGGCGGAGTCGAGGTCGACGGCCATCTGGTCGGCGGCGATGTCGCATAATCGATTCAAAGCAGCCGCCGAGTGAAGGACCGGAATCTTCACTCTCGACATAATCGAAGCCATTGTTCGTGCTTCTTTCTGAGTAGGAGCGCTCGTTAGCATTGGGAAGAGTATCCCCTTGAAAAATGCAGAAGGTTTGTACATCGATCTCTTCACAGCATCGTAGAGGTGTACGTTTGCCTTGGCGTTTTCATAGATGTCCTGACGCACGCGGGGAAGGAGAATCCAGTTGAGAAATTCTTGAACAACTTCTGGCTTCTGGCTCACGAACAGCTTAGTGGCGGCGAGCATGGCATTAGGTGTCCATTCATCAGGCCTCGTTATCGAGACATAGGTCTGCCAGTCTGCAAGCGTAGGCAAGACTTTGAATATCTTCGGGAGCTTGCCGGACTTGTATCGTGATAGAAGCATGCCTACTTTAGTGAATGCTTCTACAGCTTTCGCGGGAATCTCAACAGCGTCCGGAGGTATGATTTCTCTTTTCTGGGCAGGACTGTCGTTCCCAGCCTCAAAAGCTGCAATCTTCTCTAATATGAGTGCTGTCAGATCTGTGCCTTGCTCATCTTGCCCCTCACTTCGTCCGCCTCCTAGCAATGGATCGTCGTTCTGTGGGTTGAACCGATTGAACACGTCCAGGTCGGTGGGATCTATTTCGTCTTGTATTACAACTTCTTCCTCTTCATCTGCCCATACCTCATCATCATCATCGTCGAACTGCAAAGGGTTTGTTTCTCCCTCTGCGCCCGGATCTCGTGAGTTGAGATTGAAGGCGGGGTTAGGGCCTTCAATTGTATGTGTTTGTCTCTCCGCCGATTCTTCGTCCACGAGCTCTTGTCCGATCTGTAGAATCTTCCGGGAAGACCTGGAATCTACAAAGCTCTCATCATCCACATCACTCCGTTGCTTTCTTTTCTTCTCTTTCTTTTGCTTCAGTGGGCTAGAAGGAGAGTAGTCTTCACCCAGAGGATTGTGCCGGAGCGCTTGGCGCTGATCGAGGGATATTGAAGCTTTGGGCATAATTATTGGTGTTGTGCAAGTATTAAGTCAGTGTTGCGCCTGCTAGATTAAATTCTGATCTTCTAGTGAGAATGAATGCTTGAATGCGGGCAAAAATAAAAATTTGTGGGGCAGAGTGCAAGCCTTAAGTTGGGACCTCAATTGTGCGGAGCTTACCTCACCTCCGTTTCTTATGTCCAAATCACAATTAGTATCCAGCAGCGTTGCAACCATGACAGACAGTTCTCCGCGTTCTCGAGGTAGCACTCCGGTAGCTCCAGCTATACGAAAAGGTTTCGAAGAAGTACACGCGCCCACCGTCTCCTCTCCACTCAACCCAGATGCATCCAAGTCTCGACCGAAGCCTACACCACGAGAGCAGCGGGAGAAGAGGGATACCCTGAAGAAACGCGAAGCTACAGGTGGAGCTCGTGGAGCGACTCCAGATACCAAGGTGAAAGAGAAGCATATACCAAAGGCTGATTCACCCATGCGCTACAACATCCCGGAGCCGAAACTAAGTGACTACGAACCTCATAGAGACCTTCCATTTGTGTCGAGAGAGCCTGTACCTCTGATGCTCTCTGATGGGCAGACTGAGCTTAGAAGAGTGGCTGACTTGTACGTGACCGTCGGTATTAACTGCGAGATTTACTGATAGACACAGGGCGTGGAATAAAAAAGGATATCGCTACACACCTTGCATAGCAGACCCACACTTTCGACATAAGCAGTTTTACAGACAGACTGAAAACAAACCTTACGGACCGCGAATGGGATTCGAGGACACAGACAGGACCTTCTTGTTCGACGACACAGCAACAATCATGACCAACGAGAAAGGCTGGCGCCTGGGCCGGGGCAACATCGTTGCAAGAGAAGGTCGAATGTATTACGAAGTCAGGATTTCCCGGGGCGTGCCCGCTGAAGGACCTCCAGTACCAGCAGGCCAAGAAAATGTTCCACAACCACACATCCGCATGGGATGGGCACGCCGCGAAGCACCCCTCGATGCGCCGGTAGGCTATGACGGCTACAGCTACGGTATAACCGACATTCGATTCGAATCTGTACACCGCTCGCGCCCGACCAAGATTTACAACCACATCCCGAAAGGCAAGAAAGGTGTCAAGAATCGCAGTATGATTGGTAATCAATCCGTCGAATACGTCCCGGACGACCACGTGCGCGAAGGCGATGTCATTGGCCTTGAAATCTCCCTGCCCTCGATCTCTCTACACCAGAAAGTTGTGTCTGGTATCTACAACCCCGCCGTTGACAGCGACGATCCCTCGCAGTTTGAAACCGGGGCATTCGATATTATTCGTGACCGTATCCCTGTGCCGTACAAACACAGCATTATTTTTGAGCAACTTGAGTACCAATCTACGAAGTCAATAGAATCATACAGCGACCGCGGTCCTGTGCCCAAAATATTCCCGAACCCAAACCACGAGGATCCCGCGCTACGAAGCTTGCCCAACTCATCAATCAAAGTGTATAAGAATGGCAAACTGGTTGGCATAGCATTCGAGAACCTTCTAGCATTTCTCCCGCCTGCATCAACACCACTTGTAGCCGCAGGTGCGCGCCCAGGGTTTGACGACGGCATGTTGGGCTATTTCCCCTGTATCGCAGCTTTCTGTGGTGGTATTGCGCAAGTAAATTTCGGGCCAAATTTCTGGTACCCCCCCCCTGAGTTGGCGTCGAGAGACGCAGACATGGGTGGCCTGGAGCCCTCCTCGGAAGCCTTCCCTTCACCCCAGTTGACTACACTACGACCACTGGGTGATAGGTATAAGGAACAGATCGCCGAGGACATAGTGTGGGATATCATCGACGAAGTTGATTTCTTTGTGCAGGATGGCGGCTTTTCGTATGTTCCAACGAACGCGGCACTGGATAATGCCACTAAGACAGCAGCGCCGAAAGCCAGGGGCATTGTGGACGGCGACGATGATAATTCGTTTGTAGGGAAGTTTTAGTGGCAAAATGTATGATACCCGTAGCTTGTGTATATATATGAGATTGTCAAGGCGAGACATCCTGGCAAGAGAAAGTTTCATGAAATTCAAGTGACGAAAGACAGGCTCTTGTGATTAGAGCCACTTGAAGATTTAAGTACTAAGACATTGGTATGGCGACACATTGGCACCGTGGAGAGGGCAGCCTTGGGCCTAAATACGATACTTGTCACTGCTTAAGGTATCACCAGACTAATGTCGTATGATTGTATGCTGGCTCCAGAGCTTCCAAGAGCGCTGCGCTCATCAATTAGAAGAATCCTCTTCATCAGTAGAATTACTGAGTGCTGAGTTGTGGGAAAGCATAGAACCTGTCGTTGACTCTATTGTTACCCTGTGACTTGACGAGGTCAGAATGCTTGGGCTGCTGGTTGTGCGGACACGCGTTCGGCCTCTTGTGAAGTAGACAGTCTCTACTGAGTTCCACATGGCTGGGTCTGCATGTTGTGCTCCCTTCAGTGTATCCCGAGCTTTGATGCATCATATCTTGTCAGCTCTTTATGCTCCGTATCGTTTAGGGCAACCATGCACTTGCTCGTCCGGTATCTCATGTTGGTCTCCACTGGCACACACTTGTGGAGTACATGATCCTTGACACATCCTTAAGAAAAGGACAGTTTCTTTAGCAGATGCTCACCTGGATGTCCAAAGAAAAAAGCATAATTAAACAGCACGACTAGGCTAATGCCGTCTTGTCATTTCAGAACCCCAGCCAGACATTGTTGTTTGCTGCGACGTCTGGTCAGTACAAGTCAGGGGACAGCGTTGAGCTCAAAGTACCTTTTGAGTGTGAGCACAAAGCATGTCACTGCTGTTGGACGACTATGAACGTGTTACTCAGATTATCAAAAGGAGACTTAAGCATTCGTGTTGAGCTTGTTTAATTGGTTCGAATTCCGGTTTGTCTTTGCTTGCATGAATAACTGTCCGAGGTCGCGGAGCAGAAGTCGAGACTTTCTCTGATTTCTAAAGTAATCATTTAGTGATATCATACTTTTTTGCCCCGACCCATGCGTAGAGATAAAGTTGAGGGGAGAAACAGGGAAAAGGAATATCGGAGGAGATGAGAACCACGTATCTTAGGCAATGTGTTGATAAGGGAAAAGCAATTAACTAGTGTGGGAAGAGATCTACCCTTGTGCACTTATGCAAACGCTTCATACAACGCAAATTTCCTCATCTCAGCTTAATTTGCCCCTCGCAATATTTTCTCTGATTCATCAACAATAACCTCAAACGCCCCTTTCACGAACTCCTCACTTGCAGTAGAATTCGTACTCACAAGCCGGATCGCATACGTCCCACCAACTACTCCGCTCGTCAGATAAATTGGTCCTCGCGCATTGATTCGTGTATACACCTCCTTCGTGACCGCATTCGCGTCCAACAACATCTGCTGTGCTGCATCTGGCGTGAAATCGTTCGAGTAAGCATTTTGCGTACCGTACGATTCTATTTCTGCAGTCGTACTAGGCCGCATTCCTCCATTCACTCCACTATGTGGCCCGTTTGTTTGTGATGTTCTCACCTCAAACTCCCTTTTCCCCACCACTGTGAATACCACCAATCCAAAGCTCGGGCCCTCGACAATCCTGAATAAATCCTTCCTGGTTTCTACAAGGCTTGCGAATAGCTTCCCTAGCTCAACGCCCTTGCGTATATGCGCTTGCATACCCAAGACACCATACGTGCGCATGACAAACCAGATTTTGAGTGCGCGGAAGCGCCGGCCAAGTGGAATCTGCCAATCGCGGTAGTCGGTGACGAGGCCGCGATCGGAGAAGTCATTAGAGAGGTAAGAGCGGGTGATGGAGAGAGCGGAGGTCAGGTCGCGGCGGCGGCGGATGAACATGCAACTGAAGAGGTTATTATAACCTTGGAAAGACGCGAGTAAAGGGAGAATGACTTACTTCGCGTCAAAGTTTACTAGGAGCCATTTGTGCATATTCATGGCGAAGCTGTCGAATCTGTCGAAACTTTTGGCATGATGTTGGTATTCTGGACATATCAATGCAGCACCGGCGTATGCCGCGTCGACGTGTACCCATATCTGGGGATAGTCCTTCAACACTTCAACGATTTCTGCGAAGTTGTCCACCGCACACGTTGCTGTTGTGCCCAAGGTAACGGTTAGATAATATGGTATGCGGCCTCGTGCAGTGATATCATCTAATGATCTCCTTAAGTCTCGACCAGTCATGGCAAAATGATTGACCGCAGACGTCTTGATCGAAACATGTTTCGTGCCTGCAATCTGCGCCCCTTTCTGCGTCGAACTATGTGCCTGTTCGCTCCCTAGTGCAACCAGTTTTCCCCTCAGCGCATCCATCTGATCTTCTTTCACCTCCCCCTCATACCCTTCCGTTAAATTACTCAACGCCCGCTCCCTAGCCGCGACCATGGCCACAACAACTGCCTCGCTCGCACTTCCCTGAATTACACCACCGCCCTCACCTTTGCTCTCGAAGCACTCTGGCAAGCCCATCATTCTCGCTAACCAGTCCAGCACAATCGTCTCTAGCTCCGTGAATGCAGGACTACATAGCCAATTAAACGCTGGTGCAGTAAAGGCCGCGCTGTACATTTCACCAAGCATTGATGGATAAGTCGCACATGCTGGAAAGAAAGCCATGAAGTTGGGCGACTGCCAGTGGGTTAGGCCTGGAAGAATATATTTCTCTATGTCAGGCTGAATGACTTTCCATGATTCGGGCTCTTGTGGAGCAGAGGTTGGAAGGAGCGGTGCGAGGTAGCCGGGAGACACGGTGGCCAGCACGCGCTTTTCGGGCAGGGAGTCGTAGTATGCGATGATTTCCTCGATAGCGGAATGCGCAGCAGTGCGAAATTCGGCTGCGTCCATGGGATCTGGATGTAGTTGTGAAATTTCGATTGAGAGCGTGAATTGGCCGAGATGCGTTGGGGGGATTGAAGTGAGTTCGCCGTTTGAGAAGACCAGCAAGTTTTTTTCCTGTACAGTATATGCGTACGAAGTGAATACATTTTGCGCCCTTGGAAGGTGCAGTGGAGTAGGCCTGTAAGCCCAGCCCGTCATCGGCAATCAGGTCTGGCGGAACGGTCCCGCTCACACTAGCTCAGCCGCTGACCTGCCCTGACGCTCAGACATGAAGCTACTCTACCTCCAACATCAACCCTGGGAGCTATCCGCTCTCTATTAAAGGTCGCGCGCAGAGATTTAGATGTGTATGATGCATCCGTCACAAGTGCTCGTCACGAGTACCTCTGTCGTCTCCAGAGGGCGTATTCAGTACGATTACACTGTATGCGCGTTGGCTCTGCACGTTGGACTTCGTCTGGACGGAAGGCGGAGCCACTGAATTGCTCCCTTCTGCCATCTATTCTCTCATCGTGCGTATCAGAGTGATCAGAATCTTGGTATATCGCCGCGCAAATAGCCCGCATTACTCGATTGGGTTCGGCTCTCGACAGCCAAGTACAAACATTAAAATGCGACTCGATGGAAAGTAGCAGAGATCTGCGACTGTCATTGGAATATATCCATGCGCCTCATATGGAAAGGAGACCATACTACATAGGTACACCGGCACAAGTTGCATCATACGAGTGTGACTAGGTAGTCAACGAGAACGGTGGAAGGATATGTCACAGTTGGTTTTGAATTTGCTGCGCAATAGCGTCGCCGAATTCCTGCTCTGCAAGTGCAATACCTGGTTCCTCTTCGGGGACTTGAATTACTCTGAAATTCGGAGGTAGGTCAACGACCCCAGGCCAAAGATCTCTTGGTATAAACTCGCCATGCTGTTCCCTAAAGACCATACGAGCTTTCATATCCGCTTCGTAAAGTTTCGCAAATTGCGTGTCGGCCTGGGTTGCGATTCTGTCCATCTCGTCTTCCGCTTGTTTGCGTCGCGCAAGCTCGGACAGCACTCCATCGTACGCGTCAACGAAACCATCGAAGAATTGTTTCAGACCCTCCATATTCTCAACTCCCTGTACAATGTTCTCCCGCTCTTCGTCCCACACTACTCGGAAAGACCGTGCAGATGCGATGTATGGCTTGGACTCTTTCCCCATGGATGTAAGGGATTGTACGGTAGTTAACAGAACCCCATACGACTCGCGCAAGATCTTGAGATGAGAGAGCACCGTTTCTAACTGCTCTTCCATCTCCGATGCATGGTCGCGCATTTCGGTGACAACGTCTTCCACTTCGACGGCATCTTTGGCGACCACTTCAAGCATATCCCTTCTCTCAGAGGACGTCATAGGTAGAGGAGGTGCATCTTGATGTAAAGACTCAACTAATATACCCGGAGCCTTAGGTACGTCCCCTGTCGCTTTCGACGCAGCAGGTAAGCCCCCATCTGTGTGTTTCAAAGCAGTTACACAAAGATCATAGTGGTGCACTAGTGACTGAACATTCTGGGCCATCTCTTGGGCCCGAAATTCCAGTTCTCGGAATATTGAAGGAAGAAGTGAGGATCCGTCGTGTAGAGCAGTAAGGTTTGTGGTTGCTGATATGTATCCTCGAAGTGACCGCGTGGCAGCCTCAAACTCTCCTGTAACATGATCCAGCTCATTTCGAGCTTCATTGAAACGATCAATACACGACCGAAGGCCTTCAGAAAGATCTCTGTAGCTTTTATTATCGATGTAGTCATATAGAGATTTTTTGTCCGAAGTTCGAAGAGAGGGGCTAACAGGAGTCTTTTGAAGTTTCGTGATAGTTGTCTGTAGATCCCGATCTGCGCTATCGAGGGTGCGTAGGAGTTCCTGTGAATTGGAGGACATTGTCAGTAACTATTTGGGTAATTAGACTGATAGTGTAAGGTTATACTACAGGCGCACCTTGAGCTCTGTCCAAGCCTCTTCGCTTACTGCTGAGACACCATGCGTGATGGCTTCAAGCGTGCCTATTTGGACTTCAAGCGTACTCTTGATGAAGGCGATTTTGGCTGCGAGGATTGCGTTCTCCTCTAGAAGGTCTCGTGCCGTGTTGACGATCTCGTTGGCACGTAGTAGGTACGACGTGGACAGAATGGAGCGTTTGGCAGCGACAAAGTAGCCAACAAGTCGTGGGAGGTCAGGCTCCTCCTCTAGATGGCTACGACTGCCAACAGATGAGGCTGGGGACGACGGCATAGTGCGGCGTCACGAAGCTTCCAATTCTTGGAATCGTTCTGTACGGAAAAGCAATTATAATTTCTCAAGCCATGTTGCTACAGCAAAGCTGTGAAGCGCCATACAAACGTCAAGGACTTAATGGTGACGAAGGAATGTTAGCGGCAAGAAGAGCTTACCAGTGTAGTAAACTGTAGCTCCATACAATACGATAATCTCACGTGTCAACGCAGAGGTCAGCACGCGAACATGCGCATTAAGGTAGCCACGAGGCAGTAGTATTCCTACCTAGTTCTGAAGTAACTGTGAAAGCCTTAGAGGTAAGGCGACACAGCTAAGAATGACGAAGATCATATGTCTGATAGCGCGACCTCAGGCTTACCTGGGCTCTCTCGCCTTGCTTACTAATTTGTCAAGACCCAACCAACATTTTCGGGTCCAGCAGGGTATCGCAACGACGCAGCATGGCGCTCTGTGCTCACACGACATTAATGCCTTGTAACATGTATCATCATTGACAATGTAGATAGGATTATGGTATCTTTCATGGTACTTTTACTTTGGGGTGTTCGATGAATTATAAGCACGCGCTGCTCCCAACCTATCTCGTAGTCTGTATCGCAGACTCCCGATGCCGTGCAGTATCCATCAACTATCCATAGTCCTCTGAGTGCTCGACGTCTCTTCTACACATTGTTTCCTACGTCCTGTGTTCTTCCTGGCCATATTCAAGGGCCTGGACCACCACCTGCCCAAAGCTCAGTGTTTTTGCCCGCCCACTACACCGAGGTGGACCCTTGTGGTTTGCACGCAATTGCTCGCACGCCATCGCTTCTCTGGATCTCGACACAACAGTAACCGCTGTTCGCCTCGTCAGACCATGCTGTCGCAACCGTTTCGACCCTCTACCTCAGCATTACTCGGGGACTGAACCGAAGGGTATTTGCGACTAGCATCATGGCGGCCAACTCTCCACAGAGTCTGGCCCCTCGCCCAATTGCTCATACTTCATCGGAATCGCAACTGTCAGATCACCTCGCGTTTCACGCTCGAACGTCATCGCGCCAGCAGCATAGTCATGTTATTACCTCCGATGCCTTGAAGGCAAGCCCCATGCTAGGACACGATCATCAACATCTTGCTGTTACGAATAAACGAAGGGAATCGAAGGGCAAGAGCCAGGAACTGGATCGGACTGGTATCTTTCTGTCTTCGTCTTCGAAAGAAGCACATAAGATGATATCTCCGTTTCTCACGCAACATATTCCTCAACAGTACAACCCTCGCGCTGCTGACGGTCCCGACCCACGCGAGAAGGCACCATCAAAGTTCTGCTACAGGCATCGGCCGGATGTGAAATGTCGCAGAACCGCAAACGAGCCAACTATGGAGGAACTGCAAAACGTAAGTCTCTTGTTGATCTGCATATGTTCTTCTCAAATTAACCTGCAATAGGATCTAGGGAAACTATCGCAGTCCGACCAGCAGGGTATCTCCCATGTTTGGTCTCTCTTTTCTGCTGCCCCGTCGAAACATCGCAATCTCATGTTGCAAGGCATTCTAGCACAGTGCTGTTACCCTCAATTGTCCTACATATCAAACACTATCCGAGACCTCATCAAGATCGACTTCCTTGACGCCCTCCCGCCAGAGCTTAGCTTCAAGATCCTTCTATGCTTGGATACCACCTCATTATGTAAAGCCTCGCAAGTAAGTCGGAAATGGCGAAAGCTTGCAGATGATGATGTCGTCTGGCACAAGATGTGTGAACAACACATCGATCGAAAGTGCACTAAATGTGGCTGGGGTTTGCCACTCTTGGAACAAAAGCGACTGCGTACGGAAAAGAGACAAATGCAGCTTCGAGCCAGCAATATCGGGATCAATGAATGGTCACCGAACATCAGTCCGCCATCTTCTATCGAAATAACCCACACTGATATGAACTCAGAGAATCAGCACTCCTTGGACTCGCAAAACGCGGTTACGTCTAGAATCCAGCCTGAGAAACGACCCTGTACCCCAGAGCATGACTCTCCCAATCATGTCTCGAAACGCGTTTGCACACAATTGGATAAGGCGAGCGCAGAGCAAAATATCAGTTACCCCAAAGCCACTCCAAAAAAGCGTCCTTGGAAGGACGTCTACAAAGACAGGTTCAAGGTTGGGACAAATTGGAAGTATGGCCGATGTACTCTACGAGTTCTCAAAGGACATACTAAAGGGGTCATGTGTCTACAATTCGTGAACAATATACTGGCGACTGGATCTTATGACAATACTGCTAAGATCTGGGATCTTGCGAATGGACAAGAGCTACGAACGCTTACTGGGCATACCTCTGGAATTAGATGTTTACAGTTTGATGAGTCTCGGCTCTTTACCGGAAGTACCGATACGACACTGAAGGTCTGGAATTGGCGCACTGGGGAATGTGTGAAGACCTTCCGTGGCCATACTCGCGGCGTAATCTCACTCCATTTTAGCGACAAAATTCTCGCATCAGGTTCCATGGATCATACCATCAAAATATGGCATATGGGGAAGCAGCACGCCTTCACGTTGCGTGGACACACCGATTGGGTAAACAGCGTTAGGATTGACTCTAGGTCTAGAACACTTTTCTCCGCATCAGACGACTGCACAGCCCGACTTTGGGACCTAGACACTCGTGAATGTCTCCAGATCTTCAAAGGTCACGTTGGACAGGTCCAACAAGTGCTACCATTGCCTCAGGAATTCGAATTCGATGAAGACCCTGAGGATATCATCCATGAGGGAAGTGACCAAGAACGGACTGATAGCGACACTTGTGACAAAGGCTCCAAGTCGCAACCATTTCCAGACCCGAACAGAGCGTGTCCGCCTAAATACATGCTCACTGGGTCTCTCGACAGTACAATCCGGCTCTGGCATGTCCCCACTGGGAAATGTATTCGGACCTTCTTCGGCCACCTCGAAGGCGTATGGGCTTTGGCTGCAGACACCTTGCGCATGGTCTCAGGCGCCGAGGATCGAATGGTCAAGGTTTGGGACCCTCGATCTGGTCAGCATGAGCGCACATTCACAGACCATACTGGTCCTGTAACATGTGTGGGATTGAGCGACAGCCGCTTGGTCTCTGCGAGTGAAGATGCATCCGTTCGAATATACAGTTTCGAGGCGGACAATGACAACTTAGTCATCGAAGGCGAGGCTGCGGAGAGCAGAGTTGCGTGCAGAGGCACGCCTGGGTAGGTTTCGGCTTTACGTTCGTTACGGCACATGTGTTTCTGGTTTGATGCGTTCAAGCGTTGGCGTCCGGGATTTTCCATTGAAAACTTACACATGACGAATGAATCACAAGATAAATGATGTCCGGACTGGTTTCAGGTACTCGCTCAGTGCAACAACAATCAGCCATATGTAATAGCTAAGCGTAGTGGTGATGACTAAAACACCAAATTAGATCGGTCTTCGCGCGAGGTGCAAACCCGACCTTTGTCCACTTGGCAGCAACACCATTCCTTTCCGTTTGCTATAATAAGTCACGACTAGCGGGCAAACGCTTTGTCGAAAGATCTTAACTATCCTTGTCTTGCAGGAAGAACCACCGAGATTTGTCCGTCTTGATCTGTTCCTGGATCCTTCCCTCGCCTTCTTGCTTATGCTTGCAACGACTATCCCACTGGTCATTAAGGACAAGCACCCGAACGCATATTGAACACTTTTGCACACTTACTCTGAATCGTCTACTAAGAGTCCTAATGATCGAGCTTCCCTTTTTTTCTACTCTGCGATCTCAATCGAAACTTGGTCCCTACGACTCTTCTCTCGAACTGCCCTAAAGTAATCCTTCGGTCGTGTGCCATCGGCGTAGTCAGTTTGATGTCTGCGAATATTCTGCGATTTGGAGCCCAAAGAGACAGCTGCACTTTGAAAATCGTACAAACAACATACTGAGACTCCAGGAAGGTAAGGGAATTTGCAATCAGTAGCCGATGTCGCGCTAAAATGTCTTCTTGCACGACAGATCATTTATCTCAATGCCCAGGGCAGGATTATCCTGATGCCAGCCAAATAGTAATTGCTACCAAGAGACATAGCTCTTTCACTCCTTACCAGACCTCGTTAAAAAACCGCTCTAACAACAGAAACTAGAATGTGGACTTGAACGTAGTCTACATCTAGGCATACGTTAATTGAAGCGAACGAATCGAACATTCAATAGAGACGTCATCATGTTAACAGAACACTTTGCGCTTTAGCTACAGGTAGATCCTCCGAGCTTTCTATTCATATTATGCTAAAACTTTGAGTACTCTATCTATTCTACCTTTCTATCTCACTGCCTTCGATCATATTCTCATACCTGCATCTATAAATCTTACGACCCGCCCTTGGACAGAATGTCGGACTTCGTCATCACTGTGGAGTCGCCTCGTCACAGCAACCCTTTCAAGAGCAAGAAAAAACACCAGTCGAAGCCACTCATATCTGTACACGAAGAACGTACGACTGATCACTCCAGCCCTGGCCAGGATCCTTTCGCAACTCCAACACAGCCTGACTCGGATGAATACTTCAATACATCGTCCCCACCAGCTCCGATGGCATATCACAACCCTGAGGTTACATCAAGCCAAGTCCCAACTTCTACCAATGATCTATACTATGGTAAGCACCAGATCATGAGCGCTGGCGATTACACACGGTATAGTTCGCCCATAGCATTCAATTCTTCGGGTGCTACTGTTTGCTCTCAATCTGGCAGACACTCCAGTCCAATGAACGACCTCGACAAACGCGGTGGGCCGAATATAACTCGTGGCAACCGTACTCTCTATGCTACCTCGTTGCAATCGGACTTCACAACACCTTCCACGCGGCCTGACTTGGGCAGGACCAATTGTTCTTCTATCCGTGCAAAACTCAAAACGCTCATTCTAACCATTTCAAAGCTCAAAGACAGCCTCGAGAAGGACCGGAAAGCCAAAAGGTATTTGACCGAGGAAGAGTATCAGCATTAGAAGAGACAGAAGGGTATGAGCACGAGTATGAATGAGTTGTCCAACAGCAAGGGTCAGTCAATGCATGGGGACAGGTCGAACAATAAAGGTACAACATCACACATAGACGAGCTAGCAGATTGAGAAAGTGTAAACGAGTTGGGTTATTCTGATACAGAAGGTCCCAGTCGTGGGAACGAATGTGGTATGCGTGAAGTCGTCCGTAGTCTGTGATTACCGGGACAGAGACTCTACTTGAATTTGGAAGGGAGGCCCATATTCTTACAGCATGGTCATAGAGCTAATTAACTATCACTCCAACGTATCTAAAATATTTTCACTAAGAGAATGTAAAGTCGTAATAAATATACTAACATACTATACTTCTACTAAGTAGATCTATAAAAACTTATTAATTAGAAACTTAAGATACTATTGAATAGATAAATATAGCTAAAGTATTTGAATATAATATTAATTCTATAGGAATATATATAGTTAAGAAGATATTCAGGATATATATTATTATATATTAGTTATACTATCTCTTAAATACTATATAAGCGTAGTATAGTAGTAGTATATAAGAATATTAATTATACTTGATCGTGTGTGTTGGTGACATGGGCGAACATCCATCGGACGCCAAGCTTTCCCATGTAATATCTGGGAGAGGAGCAAACTGTAATAATGAGGAATATTGCCATCTATCCTAGAGCTTTTTAACGACCACATTATCCTGCGAATCACTCATGTCGACCTAGCGGCTTATAGAATTGCTCAACGGCGATCGATACAGCTTCGTTAACGTAATGAGCTCCTGTGAAGTAGCTCCCATGAACATCGTCCACAACTCCAATGGTGTTAGGTGCACAAAATATGTCGCCTAGGTCGCAATACGAAAGGAGACGCGCGGCATAAAAGCCAAGGTTCGGCAACGACGATGCGCCACGCGCAAAGACCTAGGCAGAATGTCAGATCGATCTACATGTCGAGCCCGTACTCTCGTGAAAGCGCAGAATGAAACAGTCTTACGCCTGATACGGCTTTGTTTGTGCCTCGGTTGTATGACTGAGCCATCGCTCGGGACGGATCACCAAAGGTCAAAATAGACACGACTATATAGCATCAGAACTTCTTCCGGGGTTTAAAACACTATCTGACTTACTTTGCGTGCCATAACTTAATCCTAATGGCGATGTACCATCGGTTTGGTTTCCACCAAGAGTGTTCAGGGTGACATGGGCTCCTTCGCTATACCCAACAATGATAATTTTACTGCTTGGGCATGCTTCCGCGTAGTCTTCGATGGCGCTCTTGAGAGTATTAACCCCTGCGTTCACAGTGTCATAGTACGTGTATAAGTCGTCGCAGGACCCATCATAAGGAAGTACATATCGAAAGGAGTCCGGAATTGCTACTAGTAGAGGGTCTGTGTAGTTCTTTTCGTAGCCCTGTTCAGCTCCACGACCATTGCATCCATGGAGGCTGATGATGAATGCACCGGAGTAGCAATTTGTGCGCGAATCAATAGCCAAAGAGGACACCAGACGAGCACACAGGCCAATAAGGGCACAAACGAAGGACACCATGACTGGTGGCGATGGATCTGACGTGTGTTGGAATAACCAATAGCTGTTGCAACAGAAATGGAAGGAAAAAGTTTTGTAAGAATAAGAGGCACGAATCCGGCTAGACATCATGTTCAACTCCATCTTATATACTTTGCAAAACGCGCACGATAGTATCGGTTCATAACAATCTGTGCAGACTGATCTTGTTAGCTGCCGAAACAAGGGTTTTCGTAACGGTAGTGCAGCCTGGAGAGGAAGGTATCTTCCTCTTTTGGTTATACCCATGTCTCGGTAGTCGTATTGGCATAAGGCTATCCTCGTAGCCTCGCGACACGACCAATGAAAGATCGTGTCTTGGAACCCTGCCTAGCTCGTCCGTTAGGGCATGAGCTATCTTCTTCCCACCAGGTAAGCGACGCATATGCTCGGTTCTGGGGCTTTCAGTAGCGAAAGATAAAGGAGAACATTGATCAGAGTCTCACCCTGGCTCAACGATGTGGGAGCCACTACACGGAACTGATGAGCCAGATGATCTTGATTGGTGTAGTGAGATTTGACTGGACCGATGGGTAGATTTGCAGATTTTCTAATTGATGATGCCGTCCTACCCTATGATTTATCCTGGAAGGCATGAATCCCTCCACATGTGAAATGTAATTGATCTGTACTGCCGGTAGTGATCTCGCAGCACTTTTGGAATCCTACTCTCATTGCCCCGGGATCTTGATAGCTTGATGAGATTTCCTTCGATCAATGTACAGTCCCAGGGTCCTAGACCGACGCTCTTTTATTGACACGAACTGTTCCTTTGCTATAGAATATGAGTCACCCTCATTACGATGACTATTTCTTCCGTGTCTGTGCATCATCTCGAGATTTCAGGACATATGAAGATGCCAATCTTTGGGCGGGCAGGCTGCATTGGAAGACTAATCTCATTGTTTGTATACTCGCTTTAGGTGTCAGGTAGTGTATCGCGAGGTCGCTTCCAAGCTTCATCTTCAGCGCTGCACTCTTGTTGCCCTTCTGATACGCCAAGAAGCCGATCTTTTAGCCAGCCGGATACTATGCGTGATGATGCATGATCTGTTGGCTGGCCGAGACGGAATGTTTGGCATCGCCAACATTTGTTCTTTGAGTCTGAGAAGCCGTATGGCACGGATTGGGGTGCCGTTGAGCAGGCTTCTCTGCAGTCTATCAGGCTATATTCGTATGTTACAGGTTATATCATTGCGAAGATTAGTATTATCCCAACCCATCGCTCCTGGTCGATATATGGCAGCATGTGGTCGGTAGATATGCATACGGGGCACTCGTCCCGGATTCTAACTATCGTTAATGCACTATTCTAAAACAGTTCGTGAGATGATACTGACATGACAAGCCCGCTCCTCTCAAAAATGCCACAAATAATGGATCCGTGAGGCGTCGTGCGGTTAAATGACGCAGCAGGGGAGTACTACAGGCGGACATCATAATTGATCGCCGGGGAGTCGGCCTGCTAAACACTATCGATCAAGAGATGAGGCCAAATTCATCCAAGTTATACTCCTACATCCCTTGTTTTTCTGCCTAAGACGTAATCGTCAGCCAGTTGGCTAGCAATCTAGTTATAAATGGATGGATTATGAGCCTGATAGTATCCCACGACCTTCCGCATTGCTGAGTTAGGTAGAGTGATTCCCCCGCCGCCGTGGGCAAACACATTCTCGCCGATTTCCGTCTGGCTTCCTAAATATCGATGACGGAAGGCATATATTATGGAGAGCCGTACCATGTTGTGCCAGACAATGACAGTACCATTTTGCGTCGTTGCGTATCCTGCATGCCTTTTCGACTAGAGTCAAAACTTTCACTTGTCCAGGGTCCAGTCACGGGTTTTGCCACTGTCATTGCCATTTTAGCGCCGCTGAAACTCCACAGGAACCTCGATATCTTCGGGCCGCAGTTTCGCACAGCCTCAATTGTCTCTTAAATTACGATAATTTTCGAAGTCATCATACATTTGAAGAATTGACTGTGAGAAAGTTCCGGCAGAATGAGTCATTAATGTGGCGCCATAAACCTCTTCTGCATTGGAAAATGCAGACCATGATAGCATACAGCGAAGAGTTCTGTCAAGGTGTACGAGCAATTCATTAGTTACTACACAAGAGCCGGTCTTCATAAGCATAGACAAGTCGTTCAGATAGCTTGAAGGGGAACAATGGACTTAAAAGGCGGTGTTTCCTGGAAGGAGATGAAAAGTAAGAAGCAGCTGCAGAGCTTCTGTAGCGTGACTCTTGGCACGCGTTTTTCATGTAATTCATCGAGTGCATTCCCAATACGGAAATTTAACGAAATTGTGGACTCATGGATCAGCAGACCGCAGTCATCATGAACAATCATCACTGACTCATTCTTCATCACTGCACTTCATATCATCATGAAATATTCGCTTCAAGTCTGTCGCTCGTTATGACGCACGTACCCGCGGTGCAGCTGAAAACTAGTGGGTTTCTTGGGGTAGCATCGAGTACGCCTCGAAACTCTCGCTATATAAACATACCGAGAGCATCTCTTCTCACCATTCTCACACTAGGTACCTTCAGCGTATCGCAATCATCACGATATTGGATCTCAAGTTGATAGCAATCGATACATACGAGACATGCTAGGCACTACACCCGACGACCGAAGTGATAACAAGGAGCTCCACCGTGCGCCTACCTGGCCACGTGAGCAAGAAACCTCATTGATGGAAGACCTCTCCTTCGACACGTGCCATACTCTTTCCGCTTGGCAGTATGGGTATACCCATAAGGCAGCATCTGATTTCGATGGACTAACGTGTAAACAGAACATACATCGTCAGAAGACGATCAAGATCCCTACCTGCAATTGCCTTCAAATGGTTCAACAGTCGAAAGAATCGAGAAGCAGTTGGAAATAAAGCCCCTTTGGAAAGAAATGAACAGTACAGAAACCGCGATTATGCCATGATGATGGCCATTCTGCTTCAGGGAAACACCCTTGATGCCTTACCTTATGTATGCTCGTTCTGCAATACGAGATTTGCGTTCGGCCGTGAAGATTTGAGCATGACCGTTGCACGTATGCGTTCTATCCATGGACCTACCATACTGCACTTGGATCACAGCACTAGCTTGCGCAGCTTCATGGCACATTTACACATGGTAGTTCAGGACTCGTATGAGTGCCTTTTTCCGGGTATCACATTATCGTCACTCGGAACAATCCAGAATCATATGCTAGACCGAGATCACTGCGCTGCCCTCAGCCTAAAACGAAAGCAAGAATTTTGGCAGTTTTGCCACGACCTCTGCGATGAAACGGAGAAAGAAGACGCTAGCAACACTGATGCGTGGGAATTTAGGTCCCCAGATACTCTTGAAACACGTCTCCACTATGGACAAGTTTTTCGCCTCTTTTACCCCACACAACAGTCGAGTCACGAATCTCATGACTCGACTAGTGACATTACAGAAGCAGCAGCATCTATTTCATCCTCTTGGCCATCGGTCTCCGATCCCGATGCAATCCCAGAATCCCAGACTCCATTGGATCCTGTACGTGAGGTACTCACGCACCAGACACGTCATCAATCCAGTCGTCGCGACGAGATGAGTCTCATTGGGCTCTCCTTCCAAGCCCGGCATGCATTGATACAAAGAGAAAAGTCCGCACAAAGAAGAGAGGCGCTTGCACGACGAACAAAGGCGTGGGTATCTACTAGAGGAGCTAATATGCAGCCGTATGACCAATTACACAACAGTCGAGCAAAGTGGGGAAAGCAAAATCATAAGTTGCTCCCAAGGTAATCGTAATCGCCTGATAGGTAGAAAACCACTGGAGGAATACTACATCATAAAGTATCATCTTGGGGCGGTTTCAATGTATCGTACTACACTTTAAGATGTCCGAGAGCTTGCCTTTACTGAAGCCAAGCTTACCGTCGAGTTTGGTCTTTGGCGGTGGATTACGATCGCAAACCGGAGTTTGGCACCAGAGCGCTATAGTATACTGTATTGTACCTTACAGAAACATGAAAATGTGGAAAACCCCGCTTTGACGATTCATGAACCTCATACTTGAATAGCATAAGACGAGCGATTGACTGTGTTATTAGAGCGGTTTGCAGCAAGGTCTTGTTTCATCCTTAAATCACCATGGCAGGTGCCAATGTACATGGATGCGATCTATTTAAAGATCCAGTACGTAACAAATAGATTACAAGCTTCAACATTATCGGCCCGAGAGGAGCACACACTCTGGGGTTAACAAGGAACAAATGTACCCCACAGCCAGGAACCCAGCTGCCACCCAGACTGTCTGGAGATAGCCCCATAAATATATAATGTTCCACTGGAGAAGGATTCCCCCGCAGATCATCGGGATACTGTCCATGTGATAATATTCCCGCATCACGGTTGCCATTACAGTCAAAGCTCGAGCATGGTACTACTCGCATGAGGTTTGTATTGTCATCAAAGGAAATGACCTCAATAGCAAGAGCCTCTGTGTCGTGCAAGATCGACTCTAGTGGTTCGTAGGGAGCGTAATCATGTCTTTATGTAAGGGAAACAAGGTACTGTGTCTCGAGTTATAAAAGCACATCATAGCCCTACAGACTATGGAGCATATTATCAGCCACTTCATTATCGCACTGCAAATCTACTTAACGTACTTCTTCTATGTGCTTTGCTCGTTCAGGGACGATCTTACGATGTCATTGGTTGTCTCGCTGGGACTGATCGCCAGTTCAATAGGAATACCTGCTGGTGGAATCGGTCTCGTGAGTGGTATTCTCGGGATAGTGAATTTCGTACTCTCTCACGAGCCCACGAGACAAGCGTTAGGGCCGGCTATTCGCATCAAGGTTGGTAGTGAGCCACCAGATGGCGAAGCATTTGCAGGGTATGCGAATGAGAGTTCATTTACTGATTGACATTTACACTAAAATCTTTGAAGAGATATCGAGCACGTCTGGACGTATAATACTCGAAACCAAGTGCTAGGCGGTGCTAAGGGAAGAGGTACGATTGGATCCGGGGACGTGTGGGATGTCACCGTCCCCTCACCTGGCGGTGGTGAGACTTGCAACTACGTCAACATAGCTGCAAAGAACAATGCGATCTGCATAGCCTGGGTCGGAGTCAAGCAAAGTGACGGTTCTGACCTGGACGGTTCCTGGAACGGAGACATAGGGGCTGCGTGTGGTCAGAACTGGTATCATCAACAAGAGCCTGCCGGCCGCTGCCCGGATAATGTAACAAGTACCAACAGTTCATGCGTGGACGGTCTATGGGTCCCCAGATGTACCTGGATAGACGGTGATGGTACTAATGGTATCATATCCAAGTCGCTTAAGTTTAACGTGTTTTCCTACTCCAACAAATCAGTCCCCTCAACACTCCAACAGGGTATGGCCTGCAGTTCCACAATCTTCTCCGGGGAATCGCAGATTTTTGGTAAGTATTGTAAGCGTTATCATTACGTTCATACTAATCGTTCGACCATAGACAGACCAGCTGGCCCAACTGTTAAGTATACCTATCTTAGCTCTAAAAGAGCCATCGAAGTATCTCAAACGCCGCGTGGGCTTCCAGTTCGTAAAAGATGGATGGAGGAACGACTTGTTGTATCCGATATGAAAGCCCATAATGCTACGAGCCTATGTAACTCTCCAACCTCTTGGGGACCAGACTTCTGCGATTCCGAAACTTGCTGCGATATGGCCCACCACAAAGCTCATCCAAGATGCGACAAAAATCCAGTCTCGGGGTGTATGGTCGTCCACGATGATGGAGAGTCTATAGCACTTAGAAAGCGGACTATGGTTGCCAAGCGAGATGTTCTCCTACCGTATAGAACGTATAAACATATTAAAAGATGGAGTTTAAGTAATAGTTAGTCTCTTTAAATATAATACTTTATTCTACTTACATATTAGAAAGTACGTTTAAGATTATTAATTATTTTATTAGCTAAGTATAGATATCTTATATAGAAGCTAGACTTTAAGATTATATTCTAATAAACTATATAAGAATAAGATTGTTAGGCACGTGGCCTACCAGTTAATTATACATGTGTATAGTAGTCATATATAAGTAGTGTACTCTACCCTTGAAGTAGTAGCTTTAAGATTCGGTTCTTTTAGTATAGTTAGTTAGTACGTAGAGCCCGCCTTCTTATAAAGATATATATATTATTAAAATTATAGTTTAGCTAAATAATAAGATATACTAGAATTTAAGTATTAATTATAATATAAAATGTAGTTAGAGCTATCTATAGCTCTACTATTATATAAATAGAGTAAATAGATAGTAGTATAGCTAGATAGAATAATATAATATATTTAGTTATAGAATAAATTACTACTAAACTCTATTAGTAGTAATTAAAGAGTATATATATATATATAAAGAGATACTAATCTATCTAGTATATAATAGTTTACTATCTATTATATTATCTCTAACTAAGTTAGCTAAGATATATATAGATCTAGTTTTATCTTTAGCTAAGTTCTAATACTTCTCTAGTATTTAAGTATAACCTAGAATTATACTAATTTTAGAATAGAATATAGAATCTAGATAAATATAATAGTAATAAGATTAGTACTAAGAATACTTATAATAGTAATAGTAATAGTAATATTAATAATAATATTATAATTACTAGTAGTAAAAAAATATATAAGTAGATAGACTTAATATCTAATACTATAGATAATTATAGTATAGATAAATTAAGAAGTTATAATATATTAAGAAAGTAAATAAATAAAGATAATAAAGATAAATAAAGATAATAAAGATAAATAAAGATAAGTAAGTATAGTATATACTTAGTAAGTCTTAGATATCTCTTAATCTAAACGCTCTATATAAAATTATATAGAGTATCTAGATCTACTAATCTACTTAGTCTATATATTATATTCTATATATAGATATTATATTTTATATATATATTATATACTATATATACTTATATACTAGATACTTAAGAAACCCTCTAAAAATCTCTATATAATAAGGGTTTCTTAAGTATCTAGTATATTTTAGTATTCTAAACATTCTAAATAGAGACTTACTAAGTAATTATATAGTTAATAGTTTAGATAAAGTAATATCTAGTACTCTTCTATCTATCTCTTCTCTCTCTTTAAAATAATACTAATTATATATATTTCTAATTGATTTTAACCTTATAGACTTTAAGATAATACTTATATACGTGTTTTTAACTATTTTTAACCTTATAGACTACGGATATATATGTACTTTAAGTTCATTCTATATTACTTAGTAAGACGGCTTAGATATATAGTATAATAGCCGACTCGTATAGTATATATAATACAGCTGGACGCTTGAGAAACCCTCGATTTTCGTTGCATGAACCACTCGGTTGCATACTGCACCACCTTCTACCCGTTCACAGCTACGATACTCGTTGACGGCCACTAGGCGCCTTCGATCAATCTATGCACCTCCGCGTTTCTCTCTGTGGTCGATTGTACTTCTGTTTTAAATAACCCAACTTAATCGCCCGGTATTTTCCTGCTTCCTTTCATTCATCCGAGTACCTTGCAGCGACTTTTGTGGGGTGTCGTGTCCGAGCACGCGCTGTGGCACAGCAAACTTAGGTCCCTTGTCTTGGGTTTTTGTAACTCCATTGGTTGTGCAAGCAATACAAGGCACGAGTTTGGAGTATTGCGGCCTCTTAAGAACAAGCATTTTGAATCGCGCGCTGTTGTGGCTATTCTCTAGTAAATTTGAGGCCAACGAATCCTTGTTGGGCGAAGGAGCCATTCTGCTACGCAGCTAAATTTAGAAGAAAGATTAAAATAGAGAGACTTTGTGACGACGAGAGGGACGTATAAAGGTTACAGGTATGTATGGATCAACTACATTCTCATCAGCACTCCTCTCGACTCATATCTACATCTATCCTAATCTGTCTTTCTAATTCAGTCCACGCCCAGTATTTTAGTTCGTCTTTTCGCGACCCAAGGTACATTTTACCAACATGTCTCGCACCGTTCACCTTATTGTATATAACTCTCCGCTTTTCCCCGCCCACTGGGGTCTATGGGTCCCGCAAAAGGACGGCGACCAAAACATTGGAAAGCTCATTCACGCCACGGGAGACGCAAGGAATGGTTTCGAGGTTGCCTTTAAACGGAACTATGACCTTGGTGCTACCAGTCGTAGTTATCAGCTCCTACCCTTGGCCCAAGTTGCTGATCAGCATGTGGTTGATGTCAAGGGAGATGGAAGGACAGGCACGGATACGACAGTCCATGACTATCTCGAGCAAGTTGCGCTTAGCATTCCCGCACCAGGTCGAAGCCTGCGATCGGCCACCAGTCAGGTTCGTTGCTCATCGTATTGTAAAATCCTGCTCATTGACATATACTGATTTCCATAACAACAGGGATCAAGACAGAGGGTCGATATTCAAAACTGTCAGACATGGCTCCGAGTTGTGGTGACTGCACTCGTACAGAATGGGGTCATGGCCGAAAGAGCTCTTCAGGTGGTCGACAATGCTCCCCGAAACTAAGGGGGGCCTGAAACTAATTGGGGCTATATGTTGTGATAACTGAGAGATCTTGTACCAATTTGCGCTGTATATTTTGTATACAGTCTCATGACTTTAACTCTAAACATCCTTCGAAATCAATTTTGTCTTCTAGACTACCGGAAATCCTAGGAGACCTCTTAGACCCCACGAGCTAGAACGAAATAGTCCCAATAGTCATAGAATTCTCGACGGTCCAGTACTAGAGGCAAATATTTCGATTCCCATTCTTCTCCAATCCGCGAGGTCCAACGAGCTTTGCAATACTCCCAATAATCCGGATACCATCCAGATTGATGCCAATCGATGATTGCAATGATCCGAGGATTGGGACCAGAGGACAGAATGATGTTACTTCGGTGTAAATCAGCATGCGTGAAAACGATGGGAACATTGTCGGAGAGAAAGGAGCGATATGGATGTGGGGATGCATCTTGGACATCCTGGGTTGGACCATATGCGGTCGTGAACCAGTCGTGGAAGATAGAGACGCTCTCGAATGGGCCTGCAGTTGGAGAGTTGCTATTTGTAAAAATGATGTCTAACAGCGGTTGCTTGCCAACATGACCTGCTCGGAGAATTAGACAAACGCTGTACAAAATTCTGATGGTAGACTAGAGTGATCAAAGCTTTCAGATTACCCCGACGAAGTTGAACTTACCAATGAATGAAGAGTCCTGCTTAACACGGCGCAATGCATGGACCATGTCATGCAATTGCTGACAAACGGACGTCTTTTCTCCTTCAATCATAGTGTCCCAGCTCTTTTCTAACGTCGTGCCGTCTACCAGCTCCATATAAATGAACACTTGATCGTCGTCCTTGCACCACCCATACACTTCCGGAACAGGTACGACGTCGGAAAGAGTGTTACGGATGAATAGGAGGCATTGCCCCTCAGCAAGTGCTACCTCCGTCCCGTATTTCACTAATAGTCCTAGATTGGGAAACGTTACCGGCGGAGGCCGAGTCACGAGCTTAGCTCTAGGGTTTTCTGAGCGACTCGCCACTTCTTTCACTTCTGTCGGCGTTGGAAGAGACAGCGGTGCGTTTGGTTTCTTGAAGAATGATGACTCGCGAAATACAACGTTCTCGTCAAATGGGAAGGGTTTACTCTGTATCTCCTCTTCCATGGTGAAAGAAGATACCTCCTCTTTAACTCGGGGCTGAGATTGGTGAAACTCAAACCAAGCTTCACTTGCTTTGGCTATCTTATCTAACCTTGACCGTAGTCACATAAAGACCAGCGACTGAGAAGGAGAGTCAAGCGTAGGGGTCGTGAGCGGAGTTTTACGGAGGGTTCCTCAAGCGTCCAGTGTATTTTAGTATTCTAAACGTTCGAAACAAAGATTTACTAAGTAATTATATAGTCATGAGTTTAGCCGAAGTAATCTCCGGTACCCTTCTATCCGCCTCTTATTTCTCTCTCTCTCTCTCTCTTTCTCTCTCTCTCTCTTTCTCTCTCTCTCTCTTTCTCTCTCTCTCTCTTTCTCTCTCTCTCTCTTTCTCTCTCTCTCTC